AGATTCCTTCACGTGGAATTAATTAAGGGTATAAAGGTAACCAGCAGGATGGGATGCAGCAGACCCTGTAGCTCATATGCTCAGCTTCTCAGTGCACATTTGGTTCGGTTCCCCCCTTGGAAGTGACAGCTCCTGGTATGGAGTATCAGACTCCATCAGCGTCAGTCTCTCTTAAGGGATGTCAGGAGCTGAGTACTGCTGGTCATGTCAGCGTCCCTCTATTTGGATGGAAGGTGCACATGATCAGGATGCCATCTGTGATACCACGCTTAATCTGAGCCTCCAAGAGGCTCCTAGCAACCTCATTTTTATAATAAAGAGACTGCAGGCTTTGGTTCTTAGTGCCCAAACTCAGCCAGGTTCCTTGTCTCCAAACAAGCCTAAGCGCTAGCGTCCATGAGCATTCGGTACACGGCACTAGCCACGTTATTTGTGTAGATGGGACTGGCATGAAACAGAGGCCCTAGTTCAGTAAACTATATTTGGGGTGTCAATGACCCTTTTTATAAACTAGTCAAACCAACGTCATGCTACATTATATGAATTCTAGTTCTCACCGGGAACGTCTAGATCAGAAGCTTACTGTGCATTGGCCTAACAACACTGTGCCGTAGCGCGTCAGGGCAAAAACCGTGTTAATAGCGTACTGTGCAGTGTTATGAGGGTAATGCACAGTAAGCGTCACTAAATAACTTTGCACCGGTGCTACTGCCTGGTAACTTTAGGTCCTGTGCATGTATTTAGTACGTTATTAAAGAAGTACTAAACTAAATGTGCAGTATCTAAGGTGCATTAATGAATGTGTAGATGCACCCACCAAATACTAAAACAGCTTTCGGTGACATCATCCACATTGATTTCTCAACAGATAGTGTGACCCTCCTACTAGATAAGAGAACCTGCTGGCCAGTTCACTGAGATCCTATTTCGGTCTTCTGTACCAATCATCAATCACTTCTCTTTCCGTCAGCCTTTGAAGGTGCCAAGCTAACTTTCCCATCACTTCCACTTGCTCAATGTACGGGATGTGTAGTTCAAGTCTTGGGACTACTTTGGTTCTGTGCTGTGCTAGCAGGCCTCTGTGTGATTTGTATATTCACTGATTGATGGTTGTTCTCATCCATACTCCAGCGAGGCCTACACAGAATCACAGAAAACAGGGGATGCAGGTGAAAAAATAGGGGACGTTAAAGAAATAGGGGTGTCTTGGATCATCCAGTATTTTCCCATGCATGATCACAGAAAATAAGTTGAAAAGTATATGTTGATCTGATGAAAACTGAAGCTTCTCAGTGAGAATCAGGGAGGCAAGTGAACTCTTAAGTTCCTTGGAAATATGTCAGAGGGGAAATACCTTCTCAAAATACAAGGCAGAAATTAGGTATGATTAGAGGATTTGATCCTGCCCAAAGAACCAGATCCCATTAGTGTGTGAGTAACAGGAATGTGACTGAAGGGCATGAGGTCAAGGTGAACACCTTCCAGACTGTTTCAGGAGCCAGAGAGACTTCACTTGGCTACCCCAGAGATTTCGGTACTTTGAGATAGGAAACGTCAGTAAAAAAGAAACTGGGTTTTTGGTGGTAGCCGTGTAGGTCTAAGGACATAGGCAGGCAAGGGGTTTTTTTATAGATCCATAGATATTAGGGTCGGAAGGGACCTCAACAGGTCATCAAGTCCAACCCCCTGCCCTGGGCAGGAAAGAGCGCTGGGGTCAGACGACCCCAGCCAGGTGCATATCCAGCCTCCTCTTAAAGACCCCCAAGGAGGGGAGAGCACCATTGGAGCCCATTCCGGATTTTGGCCACCCTTACCATGAAGAAGTTCTTCCTGATGTCCAGCCTAAATCTGCTCTCTGTCAGTTTGTGACCATTGCTCCTTGTTACTCCAAGAGGTGCCCTGGTGAACAGAGCATCTCTGATCCATTACTGCATCCCCCTAAGGAATTTGTAGGTGGCCACAAGATCACCTCTCAGCCTTCTCTTGCAGAGGCTGAAAAGGTCCAGGTCCCTCAGTCTCTTCTCTTAGGACTTGGCCTGCAAACCCTTAATCATATGAGTGGCCTCCTCTGGACCCTCTCAAGGTTATCCACATCCTTCTTGAAGTGTGGTGCCCAAAACTGGATGCAGTACACCAGCTGTGGTCTGACCAGTGCTGCATAGAGGGGAAGGATCACCTCCTTGGATCTATTCATCATGCATCTGCTGATGCAGGATAAAGTGGGGTTAACTTTGCTGGTGATTTCATCACACTGATGACTCATGTTCATCTTGGAGTCCACTGTGACTCCGAGATCCCTTCTGCTGCCATGCTGCTGAGAGGATCACCTCCCAGCCATTAGCTGTGCTGGATATTTTTATGCCGTAGATGCAGCACTCTGCACTTGTCCCTGTTGTACTGCATCCTGTTGTGTACTGCCCACTTTTCCATCCTGTCCAGGTCCACCTGCAATCGTTCCCTATCATCTTGTGTGTTCACCCCACAATTTAGTATCATCCACAGACTTGGACAGAGTACACTTCACACCCACATCCAAGTCACTGATGAAGACATTGAAGAGTACAGGTCCAAGGACCGAGCCCTGCAGGACCCCACTACCCACATCCTTCCAGGTTGATCCCGCCCTGTCTATTATCACTCTCTGGACGTGACTGCTAAGCCGATTCGCCACCCACCAGACTGTGTAATCGTCTAAGTCACAGCCTCTTCATTTATTTATGAGAATGGGATGAGATACCATATTGAAGCCCTTCCTAAAATCCAAGTAAATGACATCCACCTCTACTCCTGCATCTAAGCATTTGGTGACCTGGTCATAAAAAGAAACCAGATTAGTCAGGCATGATCTACCTGTTACAAATCCATGCTGGTTGCCCTCCTGCATTATTTTTCCCACTGGACTCCCATAAATACAATCCTTAATAATTTTTTGACTTTTCCAAGGATAGAGGTGAGACTGACTGGCCTGTAATTACTGGGATCCTCCTTCCTCCCCTTCTTGAAAATAGGAACCACATTGGCTTTTTTCCAGTCCTCCGGGACCTGACCCATGAGTGCTCAAACAGCTGTGCTAGTGGTTCTGCTATGACAGCCGTGCCAGTGGTTCTCTGAATAGATGTAATACCTTTTATTAGACCAACTGAGTAGTTGGGGAAAAGCTCTTTGTGAGCTTTTGGGTGCAGTCACCCTTCTTCAGGCAGAACAGCAGAGACTTCCTATGCCTGAAGAAGGGTGATTGTGCTTGAAAACTTGCAAAGAACTGTTTTTCGTCAGTAAAAAATAAACAAATATTCAAGTGTGTGGATGGTACAGAGGTGTCAAAAATAGTTCATTCTGTATCCCAGGCCTCCTGTAACAGAGTGCTTCCCAAGCTTGGTACCCTTGATCTACTCACCCACGGACCTAAGTAAATTAAGATACAGGCAGTGAGGACCTTGGATGTTAGCAAGTGTGGCTAGTCATAGAATCATAGAAGTGGGGTCGAAGGGACCTTGTAGATCTTCAAGTCTGGCCCCCTGCCTGGGCAGGAGAAAAACTGGGCTCACATGACTCCAGCCAGGTAGGCATCAAGTCTCTTCTTAAAGACCCCCAGGGTAAGAGCCAGCACCACTTCCCTTGGAAGTTGGTTCCAGCTCCTAGCTGCCCTGACCGTGAAGTAGTTCTTACGGATGTCTAGTCTAAACCTACTCTCCAACAACTTATGGCTGTTATTCCTTGTTATGCTAGGGGATACTAGGGGAAACAAGGCCTCTCCCAAACCCTTCTGGTCCCCCCTAGTGAGTTTATAGATGGTCACCAGGTCCCTTGAGAGTCCATGAGAGACACCTTGTCCATGATGAAATGAAAGAGTAATAAAGTCTGCAGAATGAGATAGTTGGAAAGCTACTGCTGCAGTTTTAAATGATAGCAAGCTCAGTATAATGCCAGGAAGCATAAAGCATTGAGGCTTTGAACAAAGGATAAAGGAGCCCCTTGGGACCTGGAAGCTAACACCCCTGCTCCCACCTCTTGTTTTCAGCCCAATTTGCATACTTGCAGAGCACCCTCAACACAACAGAAATCCCTTGCCCAAGAGAACCTTTCCATCACCAGTCCCCCTGTATGTGGCGTGGGTTGAACGATTATGTCTGATGCTAGCTGGGTGGTGGACACAGGAGTAGAGATAAGCATTGTCTGACTGACTGTGGATCAGGTAATAGGAACAATTGCCTGATGAGAGAGAGGTTATGGAAAAAAGCGTTCTTACAGCTGCAGAAGTTACTGAGTAGACCACATTGACTTATTCTTTAACTGGAAGCATCAAGGATATATCTTCCAGGAACCTAAATATAGCTCTTGTGCTACCCCGTTATTTAAATGGATATCAGGGAGTCTGAATGCATCTTTGCCTGTTTAGTAAGCAGCCTATATTTTTAGCTGGTTGTATTTAATCATATAATTGTGCTAACACAGACCTCTTTTGCATGCCTGAGGCAGCCTTCTCCCAAAGGTGCAAAGACAGGCTCGATGGGCCCTTCTACAATGAAGACACTAACCAGCACTGAAAAGAGCACTTAAAATGTGGGGCAATAAGAGTTGAGTATGGGGCATGGGAGACTGTGGTCTCCTAATACAGGAGGGGCACCAGGGTAGAAGTGCCACTGGTGCTTCTCTTGGGGGGCACAACCAACCTCAGGGTGCATGTGCACCCGTGTGCACACCCTACACATCGCCAATGGCATTGGGTGATGGTTGGAGCAAAGAGGAGAGGACCAGGAATATGCCTGTGCATTTTGAAGGTGGGGGAGTTTGGGGGTTGTTGTTTTTTTTTAAATGAGGAGGGTGTTTGGGGCCTGCACAGAAAAGTGTCTCAGTGCTGGAGCAGAGGTAAGTCCCCTGTAGCTGAACATCTTGATTCAATAGCAAGTGATTAAAGTGCAGCAGTATTTCTTGACAAACTTCCTCTGCCTCTTTGCCATTAACCCACACCTGTACTTATCTCTCTGTTTTTCCACCCTTAGAAACGAGCCAGGAAGATGAAGTGCTGCCTTATCACCGCTGGCCTGACCTTTCTGCTGTTTGTTGTCATCATTATCACAGTCTCCATCAAACGCTGATCCCACCGACTTCCACAGGTAGGAGCTTGTGGCTGACTCCTGAGCATGCGATGCACTTGAAAGCTAGGAGAAAGCTGATGCCTTGGGGAGCAGGCAGTGACTAGTGCAGTGCAGCTTCAATTTGCTACTTCAAATCCAGCCCACATGAGTTAGGTCCAAAATGCATCACCCTTAGCTGGATCCATGGAGACCTGTACGAATGTGCAGGCATCTTATTAATTCCTAGTAGATTGTTTGTACCTTCTGGCCTGCTGCCCACTGGGACTGTGGGTGAGAGTTTTCCCAGGGATACATGAAGCTGAACTGTCCTCTGAAACTGGACCCATAAAACCCCAGGTGCAGCTGGCTTGGTACTGCTGAGCAAAGTATACTCTAATGGATATGAGCACAGTATTTTTTTTTTCTGTCCTTGTCTAGGCCTCTGAGGCCTGTCTGCTGAGTCCATGGCCACCATGGAGAAAGATGCCCCCACCCACTCACTCCTGTGCAGTGAATGCTGAATCCCTGAAATCAGGCAAGGTAGCCTTAGAAAGGTCCTGAGCCAAGTATCAGGCTCTCTATCTTAAGTGCACCTGTTTGGCATGCACTCAGGCCACTGTACGCCAGCCACACTTCTTCATTTCTGGGCCTTGGCATACATGAAGAAAGCCTGTGTGGGTGGACATGCTTCTGTCAGTCAGTCCTGAACTTGGCATAAAGGTGGTGTAGATCTGACCTGGGTAACACATTCCTTTTATCCCTTATGTTAGGTTATTCTTGTTCTGTGACTATACAAATGATAATGAGATCCTCAGCAGGAAAATTAGCTAGCCTCCCATCACAATTTTATGTGCTTGGGGAGGTGATCCTAATGACTCAGTGTAGCCCTAAGAAAAACTAAGCACTCTATTTCCCTATCATCTTTCAGTTGTTGAGCAACTAATGACCTAGCTTATTAGATACTCAACCACAGTACCAATAAAAATTAAAAATTGCATTGGATTATGTTGGATTCAATCCAGATATATTACTTTATTTCATCTTGCCGACTGACATCTGATCATTATGTAACACTCTTCATCCAGAAATATCTCAAAATACTATCCAAACTATTGCATTTGCCATAAGTTTGCCATCATTTTCTTTGAGGGGGGGGGTTGTTAATTTATAACTTTTAATGTAGAAATTCATTGTATTTTCTTTTTATAGTATTTCACAACATTGGTTGGAGTAGGGCATGCATATGCATAGGGAAATGAGTTCGGCTGGAGCAGGGCATGTTTCAACATTTTCAGAAACAGTTTTTAATTTGGAATCCCTGTGACCTGAATATATATGCACGCATGTGTGCATGCACACACACATGCACATGCATGTGTGTTTATTCTGAATTGCAATGAAGATTCATTTTGAAATTTCCCATGTAATAGAAATGATGTGTTTTGACCAATTCTACAAGCTGTGCAATGGAAACATCTGGTTAGGACTTCCATTTTACATCCTATCAAGAAGAGGTGAGGTAATGCTGAACCATTAGCTCTAGCACTGAGACGCAGAGAAAAGAACCACCGACTGAATCATTCTTGGCTTTCCTCCCATCCCAGTACTGATTGTTAGACCCCGGCTTCCTCCGGTCACTTGCCGTTTTGTTGCTGATTTTAGCACCATCTCCAAGGTCTTGCTTCTGCTTTATCTCCTGACAATAGCTAGTGGGCTGCATCTTGTTCTTGTTACACAAGGAATCATGTATCCTACACACTACCCTGTTGTTAAGAAACTGCTTCCCTAAGCCTTGTGCAATGTTATTTTTAATATATTGTTCTGCCTTGTGGTCAGCAGCTCTGCCCAAGCCACAGATTAAAGCCTTTATTCAGCTGCAAATCCAATGCTCCCCAAGATCCAAACACAGTCACCCTAACACTGATCAAACCAAATTTCTTTAGCTTTCAGTTTCACAGCCCGTGATGATCATATCCTTGAGCATTGCTACTCTGACTGTCCAAGGGAACGACATGATTTTGTTCTACATGTAGCCAGTCATGAATTTATAACCACTTCTGTTGTACAGTCTCTTTCACAAGCCTGATACTACCCCACAGCGAACAGAGGTCCTCCTTGGAAGAAAATAAGCAGGTTCTTTCAGCAGATCAGATAAGACATTGGTAGAACGGATACATCCCCTTTGGCTTTGCTTGAAAAGTGACTAGACCGTAGCTGCTCTTGTGAATTTCCTAAGCAGTGGTGATGCCATCGCTTCTTCAGCTCAGGGCGTGCAGAAGGACCAGATGTTTCTTGTGAGAGCTCTAAACTCTTACTGACACTGTGTAAAGCACCTATCATAAGTATGTCACTTCCTCCCCTGGAGGAATCTTGTCTGAGGACAGAAAGAAAAGGCATCTATTAAGGATAAAGAGAAACTCCTGGCAATAGATGCTTGTTTGTTGGTTTGCTTGTTTGTTTGATTCCACTTCCCCATGCCCTTGGGGAAGGAACCAGGCATTTTGGAATTCAATTGCTCATATTATAACCAGGTTGCAGCTGCTTTCCTAGCCAACATGGTGCACCCTCACTGAACATCTTAAAGGAACATTATCACACTGACTAACTGAAATATTTCCTTTTCAGAACAATGTCTTTGTTTTATAGCTGTCAGGACTCCAGAACATGAAAGTGTTTCTGTATGGCCATGGTCTGCTATGTCCATTGGTAATCCCTCTTAGCTGAGGATGATCGTCTTCCATACTTGCTTTATCTGTGGGTCTGACAATAGGTGCTGAGGCCAGTCTGGGATTGGCAGACTCCATTGCAACTCGGGCATGTGTTTCTGTGCTGGGTGGGTGGCTCACGCTGTTTCTGCCACTCCTGCTTTTCCATCTCCTGTTGTCATTGTGAGGTTTCAAAGTACTGAGATCCTTGCAACAGACTCTTCCTCCATTTGAGGCAGTCCTGGGCAATAGTCTCCCATGAGTTGATATTGATGTTGTATTTTTTCAAGTTGGCCATGACAAAGTCCTTGAAGCATTTTCTTTGCCATCCTCTTGAGCATACACCTTGACTGAGCTGGGAGAATAAAACTTGCTTCAGGAGTTTGGAGTCAGATATCTGAACAATGTGATTATATACACATATAAACACATACATTGCCCGTTGTTCTGACCTCAATAGTATACAATATTTTGAGATAGATATTGAAAGAAGAATTAAAGATGGAGAGAGGTGGAAAATGAGGTAAAATGCAGTGCAGTTCGTGAAAGGCAGATCTTGCCAAACTACCTTTATATCTTTCTTTGGTAAGAAACCTGGTTTTCTAGACAAGACTATTCTTTGTGGACTCCAGTAAAGCTTTTGATAATATTTCTTACTGGAAATTATTAGTAAAGGTGGAGGAGATGGTGAATGGTACAAGAACTATAAGCTGGGAAGGAACTGTAAGGTTTATACCTTAAACAAGAAGGTATAAAGGATTGTGATGGAATAGAAAACACCTGATTAGATTGAATTCCTCATGGTTCTGCCTGGGAATGACGTAGTATGATATTTTCATGAATGACCTTAGTCTTAAAAGTATAAACATGCCAATGAAATTTGCAGGTGACACAAAATAAAGAGGCATTGCCATTTCAGTGAAGAATTTGAATATCATGAAGGAAGAATTAGACGCATTCAGAAAGAGAAATAATAGAAACAAGGTGAAATTTAATAGTACAAAGTACAAAGCCATGCATTTAGGGAGTAATAACAAGCAGGTCTATTATAAGCTGGCAGTCATCAGTTGGAAATGACTGAGGTAGAAAAAGACCTGAAACATTACTTGGTAACAGGTGGTTATGAGTCTCCAGTGCAGTGCAGCTATAAGAAAGGCAAATCTAATCTTAGAAAGCAGGGTAGAGATGCACCTTATAGACTAACTAGATGAGATATTCATAAACTTTCATGAGCCCAAGCATCAGATGAAATGATTTCTGCTTGACTTGACACCAACATAGCTAACTACTGCTCTCTGCTCACATATGAGCCTAGGCAAGGTGTGTCAAGTAAAGAGAGGTAAGTACTAATGCTGTCATACCAGATAGAGATGAGGCTTCAGGAATCTGGCGTACAATTCCAGTGACCCATGTTTAAGAAAGGTGAATTCAAATGGGGACATATGGAGAGAAGGGGATGTGGGGAATGGAGACCCTAGGTCATAAAGGAAACTAAAAGAGCTTGGCTTGCTTATTCCAACAAAATGAGGGCTGAAAAAAGATTATGGCTGAGCTGTATAAATACATGATGGGGGCAAAGAGCAGGAAGGGAGATGAGCTATTTAAGCAAAAGGACAATGTTGGCACAGGAAGTCATGGGTATAAACTGGCGAGGAATAAATTTAAACTAGCAATTAGAACAAGGTTCCTAAGCATCTTAAGGTGTGAGGTTAGGGAACAGCTTTTGATTGGAGTAGGAGGGGCAAGAAAAGTAATTCTTTTCCGAATGGAACCCAAAAAGTTTAGGAAAGGGATTATTTGACATGGGCACTGTGACAGTGAAGGAACAGAGTTCATAATCCAGGAGACCCCTTTCCATCTTATTGGCTGTGTTTCTAAACCATGCTTTAAGGAAGCGGTTCCCATCCTTTTTAGACTCAAGGCACCCCTGAGAAAATGCCAGGTCTTAGCTTTCTCTTAAGTTTTTACTATGAAAAAAAAAATTATAGGCCAATTCTTCTGTTGCAAAGAACTCAGACAAACCACAACAGGTGGCAATGGTTTTGACACTATGGAGTCTTATTTGAAATCCCTAGTTTTAGTTTATGAATCACGTGTAGTTGTTTGCCCAGCTGACAGTGCTAATATTTCATGGCACTCTGCAGTAGTTGTAAAAGGATCACGCAGCATCTCGGGGTACTGCAGCTCCCCTGGTTGAGAACCGCTGCTTTAGGCAAGCGAAATCACCAGGCTCAGTACAGATATATCTAGGTAAAAATGCATAACCTGTGTTATTCCAGAAGTCAGACTGGGGAGCTACTGGTCTCCACTGGATTTAAAACTGAATCAATTTAT